CTTCTCTAGCTTTTAAATTTTGGGAAGCCTAGATCTTAGTTACAGTGTGGTTAACTTGTGATTTTCCCTCTTAATGTATATTTTGAAGAGCATTCAATTAAGTTCTTTCATCCTTGGTCTTYGGTGAAAGACTTTTTTTTAAGGCAAAACGCCTATTAAACCAGACAGACGAATATCATTAAGAATAAAGCTTGGCAAAACAATCACTTAAGAGAGTTTCATCAAGAAACGATGGTGCACAAGACCATGTAAAACTGTTTTTTGAATACCTAAAGCATGCTTAGCCAACTTATGAGCTGCTCTATTAGCATCCCTAGGGATTCAATTCACCGAGCTATGAGGGAATCAGGACATGAGCTTGCAATCTTCAATAAGGATTATAATCCCCCAAAGAGAGGGAGAATCAGAATTCAACAAACTCTTGATGACAATATGCGAATCACTCTCAACTATTAAAGTATAAACACCCACCTCCAAAGCAAAGGAGATGTCATCAAGGGCTGCATGAGCTTCAACTAACAAAGGGTCCCCATACTGCATCTCCAAACTTCTGGGAAAGCAAAATTCACCAGAGTTGGTGAAAGACTTGGGCTGCATTATACATGGACAAAATTCATGGATCCTATATGCCAAGAAACCCAAATACCATAGAATTTATTAACATTCCTCCCATGGTCGTTGTATGTCCTTTATTMTTCAAACAAAGTACGCAACATACAGGCCCTTAATTGGAAAAGGACAACAATACAAAAACATGTTTTATAGAAAATAATCCTGATGCACCAGAAAATATATGACTAATAAGGGGTTTAATGCCTGAAACATTAGTTTTAGGCCCGTTTATCTTTTTGTCTTCTTGTGTTTTATAGGGTCGTCATAAGATACTAACTGCTTGACCAATCTTATGTAATATGGAGTTGACTGTTATCTTCACATTGCGTATTAAGGAACACAGTAGTTGGGGTTTCTTGATCCATTAAAGATTTGGGGTTTCTTGATCATCACCGCAGTAGTTGGGGCAATGATGATTGATGGGAGAAGAAGCTTCAATATTCACCTAAATGTTCTTGAGAAAATAAATGGGTTCCAATTTACTAAAAGGTCTGCTATTCCCAAAATCAGCATAATCAGATCATTCCTAACCATAAATATTTGTTTTTGTAATATTTTTTGCTGGTGCTTCTTGTAATTTTGATGGATATATTGGAGATGTCATAAGTTATGGACCCCCAGACCGATCTACCGGTCTTGTCCAGAATTCAACATCCAGAGTTCCAGACCTAGTCCAAAATTCATCACATAACAGAGGGCAAGTGTAAATTGTTGACCAGAAAATGTCCTTCCATGCTTGCATATCCTCAACAGCAATTACCTTGAAGGTTCCTCTTTCATTTTAATGTCTTCTTCCTTTCTTGCACAACCAAACTTACAAGMTAACAAATTAAGGCTTGCAATATTTGAAATCYACAGAACTTGGGATCCTCTTCCCAGACTCTGACAACCTAGAGAACAACTCCCCCAGTAAGCCATAAGAAGAGGTAGAGTACACATTCTGAATTTTGATTAAAATCTAGATGAAAAGTCAGCCAATTTGTCTGCTTCCAACTCATCTGCGCGACACGCGTTTTATCCAGAAATCTTGCAAACAAGAGCTGAATCTTGAACACAGCGAGAGATGCGGTCTTAATTGCCATTTTGTCAAGTTTGAAATTGAAACCTAATAAGCTTTCTTCCAAGGCAGGTTTTCTTACTTCATCTATATATAACTTCCAATCATCTCTCTTCCTCTCTGTCTCATTCTTCTCTCCCTCCTCCAACGACAAC